AATCTTGGATGAGGACAATCTCTTCGGAAGTGGCCAACCTGATGACAGTTATACCAGGTTATGGCTGCAGATGGTCGATCCCGAGTAGGAATCGTGGCTTGTGGTACAGTATAACCCGGGGTAGCTTGGGCAGACCCAGCAATAGGAGCCGGGGTAGTAAGCATCAGTGGGCTAGCTCTTCTCCATACAGGCTGAGACACTGACTCTAAACCCTTAGCTACCAACAAAAGGGTGTCCAGAGGGATTATTCGATACTCAGGACGGGAGAGGATTAAACCCTTACGTATGTGTTTGTGGCGGAACCAACCTCGCCACTGTCCACTGGAGAGGCCTGGTTGCTCGCCTGCTCCATTTAGACTATGGCCCTGCATTTTAAACTTTTATTTTACCTGCAGAAAGGTTTATTCGTGCCTTTCTGCGGACTGTTAAAGCCATGCTACCCCAGATAGCTATGCCATGGAGCCCAGCTGTATACTGAAAGACTGTATGAAAGACTTTGGCTCCATGGCGATTGAACTGTATGTATGTGATCTGAGCGCCATCCGGTAATAATGTGCGCTCAGATCTAAGCTATCTGGGGATAGGTAGAATGTGTATGTTCTATGTGATAAATGTAACAGTATGTATTTTTATGTCTTTTAATGTCCTTTGTCTGCCATGTGGCTAATGGAGTTTTGCCTCTGTCCTTGGAGATAATTCGATTACTTCCCAATTATCTCCAGGATAGAAGACTCTGTGGAACTGGTTTTGGGCAGAAAAGCCATGCTTCATTTGGTCAAATAGGACTTTTTCTTTTATGTGAATATGATGCATATTTTTAAAGTTACAATATATGTATAAAAAGTGTATTTTTCCTGCCTGTGATAAATTACATTAACCCATTGTGTTCAGTAATTATATCACAGGCAGAGGGGAGGGATGTATGTTTGTGCTGGGTGTGTTTTACGGTTCTCCTGTAAATGATTGGTTGTACTGTGTCCCACCCTGTGGGATGTCCCATTGCATGGGGACTTGCATAAAAGCCAATGTGTGGCCATTACAGTGGAGTTCCTGCTTAACCCTCAAAGTGAAGTGTTGTCTCATTATTGGGGGAGGATTTATTGTATGCTGTTCCAGTTTGACTGCTAGGAGTGTAAAACAATTCGCATGGTCCTATTCTGCTGTATACAACATTCATATGCTTAAAAGTACTCATATGCTTCTCTGGTTCGGTGATTGTGGTGTCTGCCAGAGTGCTAGGAGCATCCTTTAACAGAGGTACCCAGTCGGGGTGCCAGGAGATCCGTTACAGTGTTCTCTCAGACCAGCTACAAAGGAGGCGGACAACATCTGGGTATGTGCTTTATTATATGTACTAAACCCTAGATCTGAAAAGGTTTGGGTTAATCGTGAGTGGTATTTCTCAACAGACTCAAGTTTGTCCTGAACAATATCATTTATACATGTGGCTTGGTCAGCCAATTTGTCTTGTGCCCAGGCACGAAGTTGTTCACAGAAAGTAATACCAGACTGGAAGTCCGTGTCAGTAGTAAGAGGTGCGTCGGTGAAACTCCTCGCCATTATCGGCAAATAGGCATCACCAGCTTTGATTTCACATAGACTATAAAGATCCCGCCAAACAGCGTAGTAAGTTTTACGGATCTGAGCCATTCTACGGAAGAAGGGCATCGGAGGGACGGAAGGGGGAACAATAGAAACAGGTGGGGACAGTGGAAGGAGCGGTGGACAAGGAGATAGAGGAGGAGGCTCGGAGAGGGCTGGGAGGAGAGGCGATGACGAAGCTGGGTCGGGGGCGGTGGGGAGCTGGAAGGACGGCTGGGACGTAGAAGCATATGGAAAGGAATGTAACGGTACTGGATAATAATAGGCTCCATCAGCTCCGAGTACGGGACACAGCTGGGCGGGAGTTACTTAACATGGTCTGGGCGCCATCATAGGGTGGTGGTCGGGAAACCGTGGGGGATACATCATCATTGCAAACATTTCGGTGATACACATAAATCGTCTGCCCCTCGAAGTCTAACTCTTCCTCTGTCCAGCCCTCCCGTTTGAGACCCCTAGCGACTCGATACCAAGCCTCTACAGCTTTCGTAAATCCGTTATCCAGTAACAACCCCTCTTTGTCAACAAGCAGTTTCCTCCAAAACTCTGGTTGCAACCTACCACTAGGTGACATCTGGAAACCATAGATCTTAGCTATTTTCTTAATTTTAAACATTGCTTCTTCCCCTGCCCTTTCTCTCACAATATCACAAGCCAAAAATCCCTTAGCAGGTCTAGCATGTTCCTGCCCCATCTTTACCAAACAAAGGGCTCCACGTGACAGAGACAGGGGAAGGGAGAAGAAGAAGGAAAGTCTACAGTACTCGACTGCCACGAGGACCTGGGTCCCGTGCGTCTTCCCTAAACGTAGACTAGTCACAGGGGTCAGCCCACCCGAGATGGTGGCCAAGGACCGGAGCGGGCGAGCGTGGGTGACTAACACAGCTCTGGGCAGCAGACACAGGAAAGATAGAGAACAAAGGAAAAGATAAACATGGCAACACTAAGCAAAAGGCATTTACAAAAATCACACACATTGATTGTGTGGCTCATCCCCAGAATCAAGGATGAGCCACACAACACACACACACACACACCGAGGGTACCCACACTGTAACAACAATTGAACAAAATCCACAAAATGACAGAAAACAATATGGCCATGTACATAGTAAAACAAAGAGCATCAAATATCAACAATTCCAGCCTCTATCTCTCTAGGCTGCCACCCTGTACAGTAAAACCCCACCTTCCAACAGGTGATCCCCAGCCTCTCACTGGCCGTCTACGATATCCCAACCCTGTTACCGGGTGGTTCCCAGCCCCTCATCGGCTGCCTGCAATATCCCAACCCTATTACCCGGGTGGTTCCCAGCCCCTTACCGGCTGCCTACAATATCCCAACCCTATTACCCGGGTGGTTCCCAGCCCCTCAACGGCTGTCTGTGTCCCCTGCCCGATAGTCAGTCAAGCTAAGGTTCAAAAAGAAAAAACATGCACCGGCCGTCACACACATTCATACAAACACTCAGGAGGCAGATAGAAAATCAACAGGTTCGTTAAAAAGAAGCACCGGATAAGAGATTACCTGTCTTGTAGCCTTCTGGAAGCTGGAAGTGGACGCGGAGGCAGACCGACACAAAACAGGAGAATACAGGCAACGGCTGTATTTTTGGAGGTGATCAGGCTCCGGTTGTCCCACTTTATGGAGGTCGGCTCCGGTCCGTTGGTTTCCGGCCCTCCGAACCGGCAAATCTGGGGCCCCACGTTGGGCGCCAAATGAAGTGGAAATCAATCAATTGATTATTTTGTGTATCTGCCCCTGGCCAAATTAAAGAAACAGTGCGTGCACGCTCCCTGAAGTAATTCACACCAGACACAAGTTTCAGGTTGATGAAAAACTTGGGGAAAGTTTATTCAGAGGGTACGGCAAGTCCCTTTTAAAGCAGAATTACATCATATGCATTGTCAGAGATAACATGGAATAATACATCATTAATTGGTTAGGTGTTAAGTGGTTTTCTTAATGCTCTGCCTACAAGGGGTGATGTCACTGGGACCATGAGGGTCTCCCCCAGATTCCAGCGCCATCTTGTTACCCGAGGTAGTTAGTCGATGTTAGAGGGGAAGCTTCTACCGGCCATTCTAACTAATCACATATAAGTAGAATAATACTGATTACAGTTGGATGAGTAAATAGACATTTTACTAGCTACAAATTATGTTAATATCTCATTTCCACAACACTCAGATACACACACTGACACACACACTCAGATACATACACTGACACAAACACTGCCAAACAGATACACACACTGACACAAACACTGCCCAACAGATACACACACTGACACACACTCAGATACACGCGGTGGCGGGACCGCTGCCCAACCATGAATTGCCCTCTCCTAATTATATGTAGTCTCCTGTGAAATGTGTGTTTCCCTCTGTGATTTTCAATCTCTTTTGATAAATGTATGCATTTTCACTTTTTGAACAAATGGGGGCGCTCCGGCACACAGGGTTCCATGCACCGGACCACCCCGGTACTACAGTTAGAATGTGTGGTTAGAATGTTCACTCCTCACTAATGAAAAAGCGTCATGCGCCTCCCCTGGGTGGCCGCCAGTTTGTTTCACCGAACGCCCACCAAGCGGAACGCTCACCTCCCGAACCAGCCTGAGAACACCGTCTTCGACCCCCGTGTCAGAAGTTGTCCTACCTGCTCCCTACAGTTACCCCACTACCTGGGAGCTATGAGGCTGGGCTCATGGCTGCCCAGTAGAGGGCTCTCTCGGGTGGATACCCACACAGTATCCACCTGAGAGAGGCACACGACTACGGGGAATCTCTGGAGCTGTGAGTCGGTCTTACAGCTGCAGAGCCCCACTGGCTGCATGGAAGTCCATGTCGACCAATGAGAGAGGGAGCGCCTGTTGAATGTGACACTAAATATCACTATGTGCTTTGAAGTAAACCAATTGATGATTTTCATCACTCTATGCGCTGCACACTTTTTTGTGTTTTCTGTATTGTATTTAGAGTTGGATTTATGTGATTGATTCCACGAGTGTGTACTAACTGCAGCTATTTATTGCCTTTTTTATTGCACTTTTAGACAATTCTGTTTTGCATGTACTAACAATTCAGTAATACAGGATAGACCGACATGGTCTAACTAATATGGGGATTAAAAGAGCCTTGTATGCTTCAACATTCTGTAAGTGTGTGTGATTGGACAGTGTCCCCTGGTCCCATAGACATGTATATGGAACTCGCCCCTTTGTATATTTGCCTTACATGTTCTCAGCCAGATACCAACAAAAGGATGCTTTCAGAACGTGACAATGCTCAAGTGGTTCAATGATACGAATACCTTCATCTCGGATGCAGAGTTAACCATTACCTCCACCTGGCACCCACAAGCACTGGACTTGGATACTCTTTTGGTCTGTCTACAATCCTTAATTAACATTGTTAACAATACTGACCACCTAGCTAAACATCTAGCCATCGTTAACCACTCTTTGCATGAACTAGAGAAGAGAACTGTCATAGTTGCTAATAAACTACACAGCAAAGATAACAAGATAGAGGCACATACAGAACATCACTGGTATGATATTTTTACAGGGTGGTCTTCCTCCGCTACAGGTGTCTTAAACATAGTACTGCACCCACTAATTGTTGTCATATGTCTTTTCTTTCTTCTTACCTGTTTTAACCTATGGATGTATTGCAAAATGTGATGTGGATGTAATAACACATATTATCCTGTAACCCACAGATATCTGGACAAGTCTTCCTCGATGGCTCCTTTGGTGTGAGATGGCAAGGGAACTGAGGTGAAGAGCTAATTAAAGTCCCACAGGTATAACTATTATATCTGGATATACCTTGCCTAGAACTCTCAACGGTGGCGCCTAAAGAGGGGTATTGTCATAGACAGAAGGTAGGTACATAAAGGGTTACAGCCTTAGCTTTAGTAAAGTCCTTCTACGTCTGCAGGGGTTAAAGATAATGTAACGGCACCCTCAGCATCAAATAGTCAAAACTGCCATTTAGTTAATCCTCCCCTCCGGCAATAACGCAAACTTCATTCGCACGGACTCCAATAGTACGAACTGCGAGCAGGGGAATGCGCCAACCTCCCGAACAGGACCTGTACGGGTACTCCAACTCCCGAATGATAAACCCACGAATCGCTGCTAACAGCCGAATCAATATATCCTCCAAGCGGCTTACGGTTCCAGCAATCAGTCGCTATTCGTGTGTAGTAAATCCCCCCAATAACGAGACCAAGCTCCGCATTGAGGGTAAAACAAGAACTGGGTTTACTGTGGGCTACCCGCCCGTATTTATGCAGGTCTCCCTCTTGGTGGACACTCCCCTAGGGGACCAAATGGGAGACTGTAATGGCAGACAGTCATATAGCATGTTAGGACACACAGGCACATAATATTCCCAGCATGCATCATGGTTTCCTCCCCTCTGCCCTGGAGATAATTGAGAAGTAATTCAATTATCTCCCAGGACAGAGGCAAATCGCCATTTTAGATGAAACATAAAAATTAATCATTACACAACTACCGAACATATTCCATTCGTGCAACGTATCCCCAGATAGCCTGGATCTGAGTTCATATTCTTAGCGAATAGCGCTCAGATCCCATACGCACAGTTCAATCGCCATGGAGTCAAAGTCTTTTACAGTCTTTCGGTATGCGATTGACTCCATGGGAAGGCTATCTGGGTTAAGTCCATTCGTGTAGTCCAAACTCCCGGTGTTCGCATGCCTTTGTCGACTGAGAAGGGCGGTCTGTGGTTTTAGCGGTGTTCGGCAGAAAAAGTGTCCGTTTTTAGTTGCATATAATCTGTGCCGAACACCACTGGTCTTTCGCATGGTTTAAAATGGCCGCCGCGTGGTCGACATACGAACGACGACCACCCTGTATTCGGTTATAATTGAGAGGTGTCTGCGGTTAACCACAACGTTCTAATTGGGATCAAGAGGTTAACCAGCAGCACACTTCTCTTCTGGGTGTCCGTCCATTCGGTAAGTTCATTCGGTAAGAAAGTCAAATAAATGAACAGGGGCATACGGACAGGTAATTCCACGAAAAGAGGCAAAACAGACGAACCAGCAATCTTAGTCTATACAGATGGATCTGTCACAGATAATTTCTTCAGCTTCTGCTTCAGTCAGCAGTGTCTGCAGCTGGTTCTCTTTCTCATGAAATGCTACATTTGTTTTAACCTTTCATAGTTTAGATAACACTTTCAAGTAAGCCATTGTTTCTTTGGCCTTATTTTTATACACACATGCGCAGTAGACTAATTGCCATTTTATATATATACAATGCTCTCCCATTAAAGATTGAGAAGATGATTTTGAACTACAAACGACAGTGCCTGTGTCTGTGGTTTTATTATCGGTTCTCTTGAGCGCTCGTATATCTAATTAGGAATCTCTGGTTATCTCTCTTGGATGACTGGTCCATCATAAATTTCAATATCAACCCTAATCTGCTAGCGTCTTCACCAACTACATTGCCCATAAGTGTGAGTGTAAATTTTAAGAAATGTGTAATTCTTGTATAAATCTTATGGGGAGAACAAACAGTCGTCCCCTTAAAATGTATAAAAAAATTGACTGTGTATATAAACAATATATTCATGTAATACAATACAATATATTAATGTAATAATATAAATGTTATTTATATGTTGGAATGTCCATGCGGCCTAAAATATATAGGCCGTACCAAACGTAACCTACATATAAGGATAGAGGAACACATCAGAAATATTAAGAAAGGATATGAGGGACATAGTGTCTCCAATCATTTTAAAACCTTCCATAATAGTAATCCTAAAGGACTGATTTTTACTGGTATACACAAAGTTCTAGAGAACTGGAGAGGGGGAGACTTTAACCTAATTTTAGGACAAGAAATTAGATTGATGTTCAACCTTGGGACTTTACAACCCAATGGTTTGAACATCGATTTTGAACTATGCCATTTCCTCTAAACTCTATATTATTAAGTTTTATACAATCAGTTCACTTATTTCCATTTATTTTCAACTGTACATCTATACCCATTATTACATCCATTACTATTTCTATCTCTATTTAAGATATTCTTTTTATTCTCATTATTGTTTATCACTCCCTTTTTTCTCCTTTTTTTTTTCTATATATTTTTTCTATTTCTAATCTATATTAATTTTTTCCAATCTTTTGTCCTTTACTTTTAGTTCCCCTATTTGTGCCCTCTTCCAAAATGGAGGCCTTGCATCAAAACATATGCAAACAGATTGCTACTATTAATAAATCTTTATTTGCCAACTACAAATGACCGTGCTCGATTTTCGGCACGTCACTTCCGGTGACCTAGCTATTACCGGAAGACGTGTTTTTTGTTTAATATTCCCCCCCCCGGCCCCATTATTTGCTTTGTTGTATATTAGTTCCGGCCGTACCATTTTCGGTGACGTCAGCGGAAGCACTCCCTCCACCTGACGTCTAATCTCCCTCCCCACGTCCCTTGTGGCACGTCATTTCCGGTGGGCGTAGACACCACCGGAAGATGTGCCTTACTTATTATCTCCCCCTGGACCCTTTCCTGCCGGACAATGGTTCCGCTTTATGGACGTTCTCGGGGGAAGGCTCCGTTAAGACACCCATTTTTGGTTGACTTCCCCCGACCTACGCTGGATTTTTCCATTCTATTTAACTAATTATTCCATTCAAATATAATCCTTAATATGTAGGTTACTTAAATAGCTCTCTTATAAATATTGTTTAAATGTATTCCTGTGAATTATGGAGGACGGAGGTGGTTGGCAAAATCTTGAAGTGTTGCCACTTCCGCGAACCAGACAAATTATTGGTTATGCAGATTGTATTACTGCCATTACTAATGATTGACAATGTTGTCAGCAAATGAGAATCTTTCCACCACAGATGTTCTTTTTTCTCAACACACTGATTAATTACACACCATGTGACTTCAAGAGGAGGACCCAAAAGGACTTCCAAACATTTAAAAAGAAGGATTCCTGAGGCAACTAAATAGTTACTGAGGAAGCTCATAGAGTGAAACGCGTTTAGCTGAATATTTTTGGACTTTTAATTGGATTTCAACTTGATCTTTGAATTTTACTTTCTAGTATGTATTTATCTTTTATTTTATTTTTTTACAAATAAATATACATTATTATTATTTTACACTTTAGTCCAAAGTCCTTTCTAGCCGTCAGGAACTCCATTGGGGAGAATGCTATTCCCCCCCAAAAATAGCACATTGCTTTCTAACCTCAGAGCCGGGATTTCAGGGCTCTGGAAAAGGTGAGCACTACTTTTTATACCTTTTATACCAATATAGTATGTGCTTTTCTACACAGCTGCTTCTCTGTTTTCTCTCTCGTTGTATACTCCTGGAGTGATGCTGCCGGGGACAGAGGGGTGTTTGCTGCCCAAAGAGCTTTAAGGACCTTCTTTATGGAGCCAATACATAGGCTCCTGTCCATGTGAGTGGTTTAAGCCATTTATTACCATCAATTACCTATCTGGATAAACCGTCTGTGCTATATTTTCTTGTTTTTCTTGTTCCCTTTTTATGTCTATGCAAGTTTCTCAAGATTGTCACTGCACTTAAAAGGGGTGAGTAAACCCCTTCATTGTTTATAGCGCTCCACTTGTCTGGTATAATTTTTGTAATATATTCATGTAGACTGCTATTTATTGGACTCCATGAATTATCCTATTATACAGAGAGTACACACATATAACTGTAACAAGTATACACATATAACGATGCACACTATCAGCATATAACAATGATATATATTAATAGCTACTATACACGTGTAACAATGCAAAATATGCATTAAGAGATATAAATTATTACACTAAATATACATTGTTCATGTCAAGTCATAAGTTAAACATTAAAAATACGGGTTTCTCTGTCCCCTTTCTGTCTAGATATGTTTCCTGCTCCGGTCATTCTGTTTCACAACCAATCGGCTACCAGCCGCTAGCAGAGTCAGTCTCAGAGAATCTGGCCACGCTACACATTATTATACAATATACTGTATCCACAGATTCTGTATTATATAATGTTCTATATCCACAGGTTCTGTATTATAAAATATACTGTATCTATAGGTTCTGTATTATATAATATACTGTATATGTTCATTCTGTGTTATATAATATACTGTATCCACAGGTTCTATATTATATAATGTACTGTATCTGTGTATTCTGTATTATATAATATACTGTATCCACGGGTTCTGTATTATATAATATACTGTATCTGTGTATTCTGTATTATATAATATACTGTATCCACGGGTTCTGTATTATATAATATACTGTATCTGTGTATTCTGTGTTATATAATATACTGTATCCACAGGTTCTGTATTATATAATATACTGTATCTGTGTATTCTGTATTATATAATATACTGTAATCACAGGTTCTGTATTATATAATATACTGTATCTGTGTATTCTGTGTTATATAATATACTGTATGTATTTATACTGATTGTATTCTGTATTATATAATATACTGTATCTACGTATTCTGTATTATATAATATACTGTATCACAGATTCTGTATTATATAATATACTGTATCCACGGGTTCTATATTATATAATATACTGTATCTGTGTATTCTGTATTATATAATATACTGTATCCACGGGTTCTGTATTATATAATATACTGTATCTGTGTATTCTGTGTTATATAATATACTGTATCCACAGGTTCTGTATTATATAATATACTGTTTCTGTGTATTCTGTATTATATAATATACTGTAATCACAGGTTCTGTATTATATAATGTACTGTATTTATAGATTGTGTATTATGTAATGTACTGTATCTGTGTATTCTGTATTATATAATATACTGTATCCACGGGTTCTGTATTATATAATATACTGTATCTGTGTATTCTGTGTTATATAATATACTGTATCCACAGGTTCTGTATTATATAATATACTGTTTCTGTGTATTCTGTATTATATAATATACTGTAATCACAGGTTCTGTATTATATAATGTACTGTATTTATAGATTGTGTATTATGTAATGTACTGTATCTGTGTATTCTGTATTATATAATATACTGTATCCACGGGTTCTGTATTATATAATATACTGTATCTGTGTATTCTGTGTTATATAATATACTGTATCCACAGGTTCTGTATTATATAATATACTGTTTCTGTGTATTCTGTATTATATAATATACTGTAATCACAGGTTCTGTATTATATAATGTACTGTATTTATAGATTGTGTATTATATAATGTAATGTATCTGTGTATTCTGTATTATATAATATACTGTATCCACAGATTCTGTATTATATAATATACTGTATCCATGGGTTCTGTATTCCATAATATACTGTATATGTTTATTCTGTATTATATAATATACTGTATCCACGGGTTCTGTATTATATAATATACTGTATCTGTGTATTCTGTATTATATAATATACTGTATCCACGGGTTCTGTATTATATAATATACTGTATCTGTGTATTCTGTGTTATATAATATACTGTATCCACAGGTTCTGTATTATATAATATACTGTATCTGTGTATTCTGTATTATATAATATACTGTAATCACAGGTTCTGTATTATATAATGTACTGTATCTATAGATTGTGTATTATATAATGTAATGTATCTGTGTATTCTGTATTATATAATATACTGTATCCACAGATTCTGTATTATATAATATACTGTATCCATGGGTTCTGTATTCCATAATATACTGTATATGTTTATTCTGTATTATATAATATTCTATATCCACAGATGCCTATAAAACATATACACTGTGTATGGCTACCGATGGCTTTATAACATTAAGAAACACTGTATAACTATATTTTCTATCTAAAACGCAAAACAATTAAATATTTTTTTTTTACAATATTAGTTAACTTGACTCCTGAGTGTTTTGGTTAACACAGAAAGGAAACATTAAGTAATAACTACAGAAAAATAATTAACAGAAAGCATGATGGGAAAAGGTGGTAAAGAAATATAAACTATAAGACATTTCTGGTCTGATACAGTTACTGATCCCCCTCCTCCTGGCTGGGGACCTACATACTAGCAAAGTATTCCTTTAGAGGGGAGAAAAGATGGCGGATGACGGGCACGCTCCAGGAACGTCCTAAGAGCTTTTGTCTGGCCGTGCGCGTCGTGTTGGAAACGTCAGTGTAATGGACAGGAAATCCAAAGACTCTGGGGTTAAAAGCAAAAGAAACAGTGAATCAAATCTCTACTTTGACATCATTCGTTCACGGTCTGTATTCCAGTCCAAACACCATAACTACTTACACCTCTCACACAGGCTGTGTCGTCCATTTCACTATATATTCACCCTGTATGAAGAGCTGTGTGTGCGTACATATATGGCTGCATGGCTTGGCATTGTGTTTGTAATAACATGCGCAGGTTTTATCATAGCTTTCTATGACAGTCTATGCAGCAGCCCGGTGGATACGACCACGAGTAGCTTTACTCTGGATAATCGTGATCGCATTACGCTGCAGGCGAATAGAAACGTGGCCTATATACGTGTCCGGTAATTCAACTAATTAATGAGACCACATGGGACTCCTGAATAAGTTATGCTATAAACTCCTGCTATGCAATGCTCTCACAAAGGCCCTCCTAGCACCATAACAATGCCATGTTGATGGAGTTACATTGTTACATAGTAATTTAGACTGGAAACAAAAACAAATTACAAAATGTCAGTCCGTTTATTATTGGATCTACTGTCAGTATATCCACTGGCAGACATTTTGTGTTAAGATAGAAATTTAAAATGTACTTAGCAGATGTAACTCCATTTTGTAACAAAAAAAAGACAAACACATTTTATTTATCTGTAACTCTATTCAATCAAACCCTGAGCAATATCCTCACACTATACCACATACTAAATATTGAATCCTTTGAATAGACGTTAAAAAAATAATCTGACTGGAATCCTCATCTAAACAAACATTGTTATTATTATTCACTGATGTGAGAAATCAAAGGGAATTTCAAATTTAAGGCCAGAGGAGCTAATCTGGGAGTGTAGAGGACTTCTTTCCCCCTTCACTCTCACTTTATCGAATAACCCTGAGAGATATGAAATAAAACCTAGTCGGCCCATTTCCGATGTAATTACGGGTTTATCCCTCGATCTTGCTCCGTTATGTCCATCCGTAAACCTATCCCACCTCTCCATCTCCGTACACCACAAGACGTCTTCCTTCTCTTTCATGATCACAGGGAACTCCTGGCCTTTGCCCTGCCTGACGGAGTTCGGATTAGTGGTGATGGTGCAGACTTTACTAAACTGGGGGAATATAAAAGACACATCGTGACTAGTCCTGGTTCTATTACGATGAAGGTAAAATCTTACAGTGACGGCACGTTACATTGAACGGATATCATTATATAATATGACTGCAATGACACCAAAACCGGGCCTTCTGGGAATATATTAATAAATAATAATAATAACAAATTGCATTTATTCTGCTATATAAACCTCAGTATTGTCTGGAGTAACAAGGTTCCATTTGAGTTGGCGTTTAGTTCTGTTTATTGATCCTCCTGACACAAGAGACCCAGTAAGTGAACCTACAGTCTGTGTTATTATACACAGTGTGTGATCTTACAGTCTGGGTTATTATACACAGTGTGGGAATTTACAATCTGGGTTATTATACACAGTGCGGGAACTTACAGTCTGGGTTATTATACACAGTGTGGGAACTTACAGTCTGGGATATTATACACAGTATGTGAGTTTACAGTCTGGGTTATTATACACAGTGTGGAATTTACAATCTGGGTTATTATACACAGTGTGGGAATTTACAGTCTGGGTTATTATACACAGTGTGTGAGCTTACAGTCTGGGTTATTATACACAGTGTGGGAATTTATAGTCTGGGTTATTATACACAGTGTGTGAGCTTACAGTCTGGGTTAATATACACAGTGCAGGAACTTACAGTCTGGGTGATTATACACAGTGTGTGAGTTTACAGTCTGGGTTATTATATATTAGCCATCCTAGCCATTAGCCAACCTAGCCATTAGCCTGCCTGGCTAATGTGAATTCTGTACATAATGGGCATCTGACGTCAGCACGGCTAACATGGCACCAATGGCAGCACAGCCCCCTCCCATCAGCCTGTCCTCCGGGGTGTCCCTCTGTGTGGGAGGGGGAGTGACGTTGCAGGAGGAGGATCAAGCTGCAGGCGGTGGATTACAGGTAAATTTTTGCTTTAAATTGGGCAGACTATATGGGCCAAACGGTTCTTATCTGCCGTCACATTCTATGTTTCCATGTTTTTAATTTGTTCTTTTTTTTTCTTTTATGGGGCACGACGTCAGCAAACACTGGCCAACCTTAATAATAATAAACATGGTGTAACGGACCGTTTTGCACACAAGGGGTAAAAACCGTTTAGGCGATCGGCCCCCTTTCCAGAGATACAGGCACAGCTACTGCAGAACATCAAACTCCCATACTGGATACAAAATAGCACTCCAACTCCCGAACTGGAACCTCCCAAATAGCTGCTAGCAGACGAACAGGAAAAGCAGACGAACAGCTTACACTCCTGGCAATCAGTCTCTAACAGCATACAGTGAATCCCCCCAAGAACGAGACAAGGCTCCGTGTTGAGGGTCAAGCAGTGGTCTGAGGTGCTGGCACACCCAGCCTGGTTTTTATTACAGTGTTTCAAATACAGGACCACCCACAGGGAGGGATAAAACAACCAATCATATCACAGTTACATCCCACATATTCCCTCCCCTTATCCTGAGAGGAAACTCAATTATACAAACAGTTAAAACATACTTTCTACCCAACTTTCATAACTCCAAAACCATACATCACATTCACATAAAATTACATATTCTCAATCAATCCATTCAGGGGAACAACATATTCAAAAATGGCACAAATCAGACAAGGGGTTCAACAGTTAGTAAAAAGTCCTTTGTGACTAAATGAAGCATGGCTTTCTGGCCCAAACCAGTTTCAGAGTCTTCTATCCTGGAGATAAGTAATTGAATTATCTCCCAGGACAGACACAA